GGTGGTGGTGCAGTGGGGGTAGTGTAATGATGGTGTTGTTTACGGCAATAATGACAATGGTGATGAAGGTGGGTAGTAGGTTGCGGCGGCGGCATGATAGTGGTGGTCTTGGTGGTGGTGGAGGCAGCAGTAGTAGCGGCGGTGGTGATGGTGATCATGGCGGTGTTAGTGGTAGTGAGTTTATATAATAATATATGTCAACGCTTATTTTTAGTATTTATAAATTCAGTCAGGATTAAATATGTTTCATACCACTTAAAATTTCTTTGCATTTAACGTACATTTAAGAGTCAATTTTTTAAGTGCTATCAATTGTGGTTGTCAAACAAATTTAATTGATTTTCATTTAATACATTCAGTTTTAACTACCGAATTAAGTTATCAAACATCGCTAAAACTGAAAACTGAAAACTAAAAATTAAATACTAAAAATTGAATGCTAAACTTTTTAAGCTAAAAAATTGTTTAATAAAAATTTAAGTATTGAACTAAAACAAGTTGTTTGATATGTATAATATTAAATTTGAAATCTATTTTTTTAAATCATAACTTTCAATTTTATATTGTGATAGTGAGTTGGTGGTGGAGATAGAGAGATAGTGGTTGTGGTGATGATGAAGGGACAATGTTGTGGAGATAAAAAAAGGAGGGCAGTGGTGGCAGTGTAATGATGGTAGTGGTTATGGCTAGGGGTGTTCATGGGTCAGTTTAATTTAGTTTGGCACTAAATTTAGAACCAACCCAATCATGTTTGGTTCTAAGTCTTTGCACCCAAAGCCAAACCAATCTTGCACTAGAACCAACCCAACCCAATCCAATGTAGCTTGGGTTGGTTCGGGTGCCACTATATTGAAAATAAGTGAATCAATCAATAATAAATAATTAAAATAAACAAGTCTTTAATATTTAAACATAACACAAACAAAGAGCAAAATATTGTTTAATGCAAGGCAATACAAATTAAATCCAACTCAAGCTTAACCATGACTACTACAAATTAAATCCATTAATACAACCAATACAAATTAAATCAATTGCGAAATCCAACTCAAGCTTCTAGTACTTCGTTATGTGGAAAATTATTAGGTGCAATTAAGTCTATTGTAATAGACCAATAGGTGAAGAAATGACAATATAAATAAAATTTTAATATATATATTTAAATAGGTTCAGTTCTTGGGTAGGTTCAGTTTAGACAAGGTCTAAAACAAGAACTAACCCAATCCTATCAGTTTGATGATTTGAAGATCCAGAACCAAACCAATGCACTCAAAAACCAAACCAACTCAACCCAAAGAGGTCGGTTTGGTTTGGTTTGGTTCGGTTCTTCAGTTCATTGGGTAATTTGAGCACCCCTAGTTATGGCAATGGTGCAATGATTGTGAAAGTGAATGGTTGTAGTGATGATGGTAATAGCAATCGCAATTGTGGTGGTGACAATGAAATGATGGCGGTGCTTATGGTAACAATGACAATGGTGATGAAGGTGGTGGCCATGGAAGGGTGACAGTGGTGGTGATGGTGATAGCGGTGGTGGCGGCAACGATGTTCATAGTGATTGTGGTGGTTGTAAGGTTATAACGATGTATGCTGTAGAAATTTAATGTATAAAGAGAAATGATTGTATTATTGATTGATATGTTTATTGATATATATTACAATGATTCATGATTCCTATATATAGAAGAGGGTGAGTGTGTAGTAGGTAAGGAGTAGGTGAAGTGGAGGTGGTAGTGGTGTAGTGGGTTAGGTTTAGTGGAGTAGGTGAGGTGGTAGTGGTGTACTGGGTTAGGTTTAGTAGAGTAGGTTTAAGTGGGTGAAGTAGGTGATAGGTTTTAACAGCCCCCCGCAAACTCAAGGGGGATAGGAACTAGCCAACTTGAGTTTGGAGAGAGTAACAAAACAAGAAATAACATAAAAATAAAAGAGGATAGGAGACACTGTATGGTCGTGTCAGACCATTGGTGAAGACACTGGATGGTGGTGTCATAACGTTGTAGAGGACACTGTATGGGGGTGTCATAACCATGTAGAGGACACTGTATGGTGGTGTCAGACCGATGTAGAAGACAGTTTATGGGGTCATGTCGGACCGTTGATTGGTTTGGATGGTGCACTTGGGATGCTTTCTACTCTGAAGTCGATCCTAAAGGAATCAAAGAGGGTCTTGATAGGTACAAATAGGAAATCTTACATATTTGAGTTCAAAATGCTTGATTTTTTTTTATAGTTGTACTTACAATTGGGTGAATTTTGATGATCTTTTACAGTTTTTTGGAAGGCGGATGTACGCCAAAAGTTTTGATCATCGATGATGGATGGCAAGACACAGTCAATGAATTCCGTAAGGAAGGCGAACCACTTATTGAAGGAACACAGTAAGTTTTATACTATCCTAAAATATCAATCTGGTAATCATTTGAATCCATTTCCTGATCATTTCATATGCCATATTTGTTGATCTACAGGTTTGCAACTAGATTAGTAGACATCAAAGAAAACAAGAAGTTTAACGCCTCAGGCTCGGATAGTTCATGCGTTGATCTCAAAGAGTTTGTTGAAGTCATTAAAGAAAAATATGGGTTAAAGTAAGGGCCATCTCTCACACACAAAACTACATAATTTCTAAGTTTAAACCGACCAATTTCTCAGCTTTCAAACATTTTCC